CGAATGAGATTTGGAAACGATGTGCAAAGATTTTGGAAAGAAATGCGCATCTTATTTTGGAGATTTTAAGGCTTCGTAGTGCATCGTAGTAAAGAAGACATTTTTTACCCTTAATTCATTGAAAGTTCAAATCAAAATAATACACCTTTTAGCCTTCGATCAGTTCTACAAAACTACAATTCAATTTCTGAATCAGACATCTCATTGATACTTGTCTCCGAATTATAACATCTAAAACACGAACCGACTTTGCTGTTAATATATCCCTCTTTTCTCCAAGAAGACAACGAAGTAGCTCGGTCAACATTGGTGTACCATCATAAAAACGTATGCTCTATACAACGGTGGAAACCATATGTTTCACGCTTACAGCAAAACAGTAGTTGTACGAACTTTCAGGACAACATATATAGGAGTCACTAGTGCGAACTGCATCTGATATTAATTGCACGAAAGAAACGATTCACCAATAAAAAGTCATTATAAGTAGACTGCAAGAGCAGATGAAACTCTTCTCATCGTCTTCTTGAAACCATGATCGACTACAAGACACTGGTCAATGGGCTCAATAGTGAAAAACATGAAATCGAATTGAATTCAAAGCAAACGAATAAATTGTTGTCAATCGAATTGGGGAAATTTGATTGGCCCATGATTGAATCAATTAAATATATCCTTCAATGATCTGTGAACGCAACAAAACTCATCAGCGGCAGACAATATTCAACGATAGGCGTTGGTTTCTTCTATATCAATGAAATTCGGGAATTTCTCGAGGATGAACAATCCTCGCGAGCCGCTAATTCAAACATAATTTCTCGTTTGAAACAGCTTCTCTTGTTTAATATAGGAAAACCTTTTTTCTATATAGTTGCATGCTTATTTCGATCCACTTGGTTATGGTGTCCTTCAACGTGTTCATAGAAGAACAATCGAGCGTAAGCTGAACGATCTGTACGAACAAATGAGCAGTGAAGCACTCGACAACACATAAGAAGAGCTGGATGAGTGTTTATCGGCAATGCCAATTCACACATTTGAACAAACCAAAAAGTCACGCGTGACAAATTTTTTAAATTCTCTCGGTAAAAGAAAAATATCTCCATCAGCAAATAAACGGTCAAATACACGAAGCTATTTCGGAGAAGCGCTTAGTACGTATCGCTCGTTGGCCTTGAAGCAATATAATGACATTGTCCTTGGTCATAAAGACGAAGACGCCGTAAGTGTAGCACCGAGTGAATCTGTTTTTCTATGCAATGAATTTTCCCTTTATTGTTTAGTTGGACTTTTGGCGCGCGCATCAAGCTAATCTGAAGGTATTATCTACAATGGCAGCTCGCTTTCTTGCGACACCTGCAAGCTCTGTGCCTTTGGAAAGTGCATTTATTATAGCACAGCATCATATGTACTTCGCAAACAACGATCGCGACTTAGTCCAGCGAATCTGTCATACTCCGTTTTTCACAAAGGCAAAGTGTGTGAAAACTGATGAACCAGCTCCTGAACAATTAGAGTCCAAACGGATAGCTTGTCAAGCATCATTTGAACATTCTTTTACTGAAGTAGTTTTAGGGAAAACATGTGAAAAGCTTTTTCTATTATTTATTTTATTTCAAATCCTCACATACTATTTTAAATAAATTCAAGAGTGATAGATAAAAAGTTTAAATGAACCTTGAAGCGAAGACCAAGCGCTGATTGTAAAAGAACAAATCATTTCTCTACGTTTGCTGCGCACAGAAATCATACAGAAGTATTGTAACTAGATGCGTAACAGCTCATGTTCAACAGATTATTTGAACTGATTCCGGAAACAAGTCTTAAATTCGAGTTCAAATAAAATGAACCGATCAAACAGTTCCGTTAAGAATTCTAAGACTCCCAATTATATTGACCTTGAACCAGTTTTCAACACCTAGTGAACGGGTTTGATTGTCATTTTCAGTTAACAGAATAATCATAGTGGTGACATGAATTTAAGGCTAGATACGTGTAAATATCAGTACTTGAAAAATATCTGAAAAAAACAGTATGTATTGAAAACGTCGAACGAGTAGAACCTTTCAAATGAAAGAAAAAATTATGTTAGATAAAAGATCCTAGAATATTCATTTTATTGAACGAAAGAACAAATTGAAGAATACATTTATTAGTAACGAGAAAATAAGATCAACACGTTCCGGCATGCGACGCAATTATGCTATACTCTGTACGTGTTATTTGAAATCAGTTTAGTCTGGCACACACCACTTTGTGTAATCTGATAATGTCATGAACGGAAGTTTTATATGCATGATGTCAAATCTATCTACTTTATTTGAGCAAGGATTTTCATACGACAGCATTTGCATTGCCATCTT